AGGCGGGAATCGAACTCATGCGGAAGTGGCTTCAGATTCTCAGTGCTGTGCTTTAACCCGCTGCGCCACCAGGGAGGGCCAAAATACCCACATTTTAAGGTAAGCATTTCCTGCTCTTTCTTTCCTCCTGCTTTCAAAAAAAAAAAAAAAGTTCATTTAACTCTAGGTAATAGATTCCAGGCTTGGGCTCCAGTGCATGAGTCAGGTCACCTGTGCGTCAGGCTGGGTGTGTCCTGAATGTTTCTGGGCACTCCGCTGAACAACCAGCAGGGCACACTTGATGTGAGGAATGATTATCAAAGGCTCAAAAGTTCTCTAGAGGCCATCATTTGCCAGGCACGTGGGGTTGGCTATAAGGTGAGAGCCACGACTTCTGTTCCCAAGTCCCCAGTTTTACAGGGAAGACTTTCCTCCCTTCGCTCAGCAGTTATTTCCCGAGCTGCTCTATCCGTAGTCACAGGCTGATGTGTGCAGACAGGGACAGGTGCAAGCAGCTTACACTGATATTGCAGCAGAGTGTAACTCACAGGTACTAAAGGAAAGACCTACTTTCTTGAATGCCACCAAAGTTTGGGCCATCAAATTAGACCTCTCAGGGATTACCAGAACCGTTGGCATTTTCCTTTTCTGGCGTATTCCAGGATTTTAATTGTTAATGATTGACTCAATGGCTACTGAAAGTGTATCATTATAGGGAAAATACATTAATATTACACTTCTTGTAGGGAACTCAAAGTCCTTATGTGTGTATTGTTTCCTGGACCTCTAAAATATCCAGATCAACTCTGTATAGAATGATATTTTGTTCCTGTGGACCTCTGGATCTATTTTGCTTTAACCTGTTCTGTAGGGTTTTTTCCCCCCCATTAACCAAATATAGTGTCTGTTTGATTTTGAACTGCCACAGAACTTTGAGTGCTCTTAAAAAACTACAGAAGATCAAATCACTGTGTCACATACCCTTGTAGCATCTGTTGTGAAAAGGGTAACCATGGAATTTCTGGAATTTCAGTCAACATAGCCTTTCTGAAACTAAGAAAGCCAGAATATTTTCTCTCAGGCCCATTACAGTTTCCTTAGATTGCACTATGGCACATAACATGAAATGCTGAAGCAAATTTAGTCCATTCTATTCCTCAAAATAATTTTAAGATTTCCATGGAGTCTGTGGGTCACAATGCAATTCTGAGATTTGAGTAACAGTTAGCTTTGAGGAAGAGAAAATGGCAGTCCCGAGAAAGTCAGAGCAGGGAGGTCTGAACCCTGGACTGGAGGTTGATGTGTTCTTCCTTTGAGAGAATGGGCTGAATGAGGGAACCCGGAAGTACCACACTCGTACTTCCTCAGGAAAAAATCAGAAACAGAAACTTCCCAATGTTCATTTTATCAGGCCTCACGTGTTTATATGGCCGTGTAAAGACAACGAAAACTAAGTAATAAAACAGGGATTATTTTAACGTGAGTTTTTCACATGTGCCTGTGGTGACAGAGACAGTCTCGTTTTTCTCAGAAGTTTTTAATGGAGGGGTAGAATCTCCTGTGTTCTGTGCATGCTGTTTTCATTCCGCGAGTTTGGGTCCCAAGGTGTGTTGTGCCTTGCAGCATGTGAGTCGATCAAGTGGCTATTTTTACAGAAGCTGACTCAGCAGTCCCAGCATGGCACGCCTCCCTGTCAGCGGGCTGAAGCAAACGGAGTTACCTCGATGCAGAAAGTTCTCAAATAAGCGGTTGAATTTTCCATTCCGAAGCTCCCTGTCATAATAACTCTACCCACCAAAATTAATCAAATAAGGATGTTGTTGAGAAAAACAGATACCATCTTTACCCTGTCTCATCCAGGTAGAGTCTGAATTGGGGTTTCAGGCATGGTTGTTAATTTAGGAGTCTGACATTCAAAGCTCCCTGTGAGGAGAGACGGGAATACCTTAAAGACTTGTAGTCATTCACAATGCTTCTCATCATGTGATTGGGACCACTCCTGTCAAAAAACAAGGTGCTCCCTATAGGCCATTTCTCTAGAAAGCAGAATATCTGACTATGGATCCAAAGTCACGCTCGTCATAAAAATGACAGCATAAGAATATAGGAACGGAACCAGAGATCCAGAGGGCTGACAGCTATAGATTAGAGTGCAGACTTGGTGTAGTCTTTCTGGACCATTTGTTCATTTTTCTGGATCATTTGTTCTTTCAAAGGAGGGATTTTTTTTTAACCCTAGCTTTTTGCATAATGTGCTATATATAAAATGTTTTCTGCTGTCATTTTTGAATTTCCATTATAGCACACGAATGCCTTTATGACCATGGTTTCCGAAATAAAACCTTTCCTCTACTCTAAATACCATCACAAATGAGGAAAGTGTAATAGAAACATTACTATTATGTTATGGCCAGAATCTTCCAAATGGCCAGGCAATATTAGCTTCTGCTCTCTTTAAAAATACCTCTCAGTCATCTGTATTTTTGCAGACATCTGTCCGAGTTCCTGCCATTATCTAAATAAACTGGAATAAATAGCATCATTGTGAGTACACTCCTTATTCTTGCCTTTCAAAACCAATGGCAATTTTATAAAAACAAGATAATTTCTGTATAGCATTAGAACTACAAAGCAAAGTATTATTTTAGATTCTAAATTGGCCCAGGTCTATGTGTGCTCCAGTTACAGTGAGTCCCCAAAGTACTGGGGTACTTTGCTATTTCTACTGATTTTTGCCAAAATGTAAGGAGCAGGAAGGTTATAACTTAACACTGTTAGTGCTTTCCATGTGTCAGTATAATACGGAGCGTGGCTGGCTGGCTGCTGGCTAAGTCATGGATGGTTGATGGACAGACACATGGGCGCACACACACAGGTATATATCAAAAGATCTATCACTGTGGATATATGGGGTAGCACAGTCTTCACCCTTACAGGTCTTGAGTATTAGTTAGAAATGGCAGACCCTAAATACATCTAAGATTACTACATAAATAGAAATAAAGGAAGAAATTTAAGCAATGAAAGATTTTAGGAATTCAATAAACAGAATGGAAAAGTGTTAAAGAAGTGCACATATTTTAGACAGTATGATCAAGAAAGACCTTTCTGAAAACCTAGGTCCTACAAGTCTAGTCTTAGGTGCCTGGCAGGAACTTGACCTTTATTCTTAGTAAATATTATGAGATTTTGCAGAATTTTGAACCTCACCAGCAGTGAGACCTGCATGAAGGCTGTTAAAGGGTCATTTTGACTGTCGGGTGGGGAATCATGTTTTGTGGGTACCTGGGACTGGGAGTCTAATGAGGGGGGTATTGCTCCCATCTTAGGTGAGGGTTCATGGCCTCTGAACTACAGTGCAGGCAGCTGTATGAATTATCCATGAGTGCGAAACAAATCACCACATTCTGTATGCCTTTTTATTTTCCCACCATTTTCAAGGGTAAGGATTCCAGGAGTGGCTTAGCTGGGGGGTTCTGGCTCAGGGTCTCCCACAAGATTTCAGTCAAGTGCAGGCCCAGACTGCATTATCTGAAGTCTTATTTCAGGCTGAAGGGGCCACCCCAACAAGGTTCATTCCGGTTTTACATGCAACTTGCCTTTGGTCCTTGGGGCCACCCTTCTCTGTGAGGTCTCTTGAGGCAGAATAGCCTGGACTGTTTCCCATGGCTTGGGCAAATGTGTCTTGGCTATAGCATCACAACTGTAATACATGTCAGAAAAAAATGAAGCAGTTGAACTTAATGGAAGTTGAAAGCTTCTGAACTATGACAGGTATTATTAACAGGACACAAAAATCAAGCTGCAGACTGGGAGAACATATTTACAAATCATGTATCTGACAGACCATTTGTATCGAGAACTCAATAGTAAGCAAAAGAAACAGCCCCATGAAAAAACTGGCCAAATGTTGAACAGGCACTTCACTAAAGAAGATACAGATGGTGAAGATGTAATATGCTCAACACCATTTGTCACTGGGGAACTGCAAATAAACCTGATATGAGCTACTTCTATTTCCTTACTAAAATGGCTAATTAAAAAGAAAACCTGATAACACCCAGCACTGGTCAGGATGCAGAAGCACTGAGAACTCTCATAATTTTCTGGTGAGAAAACACTGGAAAATATTTTGGCTTAGTTTCTTTTTAAATGAAATTTAACATACATTTACCATATGATCCAGTAGTCACACTTGAATGAATTTATCAAGGAGAAATTAAATATTGTGTTGACACAAAATTTTATTTTTTAATTTATTTAATGTGAACTAAAGTTTTGCTTTTCCTTACAATGTTTGCTTTGTTTTCTCAGGGGTAACACCCCTAGAATTTCCACCACCAATTCACCTGTGCAATATCAGCATAGTCCCTGTGCCACAAAATTTTGGTGTAATATGTACTTACGAAAGCCTTTAGTGCCATCTAGAATAGGAATCGTAAAAGTGAATAGCCTTGCCTTGGTTGAAAACATTTTTATTTGACCCTTGAATTAGTACTTCCTTTTCTTTCTAACGACAGCTTTGTAAACTTTCTTAATATTTTGTAGAAAACTCTGTTTTCTTCTCCATAGTATTTATGGCTCTCCTTTACCTTATCTATTTCAATATTGATTTTATACTCAGGTTATGAAGTTTTACACAAAAGATGGGTGGCATATAATTGGCATATAAACTAGTTTTGGGAAAATGTCATCTTTATATATGGAAAAATCCAATCAAAGGCATGGAATTTTTCTCTAATTTTACTTCTTTTTTTTTGTGACTGTATAACAATATTTTATAGTTTTCCATGTATAATCTTCCTATTTCTATTTCTATACTATTGTACTTACTTTTCTTTGAAAGAAAAAATAAATATCTTTTTTGCTTTATTTTGAAAGTTCAGTTATCAAGGGCACATTAAAAATGTGTTTATTTGACAGTCTTTTTATCATCTATCTCAACATGTTGACATAGTCGTGTGTGTGTGTGTTTAAGGGAGATATAATTGACATATAATATTAGTTTTAGGCATACAACATTGTGATTTGATATTTGTATGTATTGCAAAATGATCACCACAGTTAATCTAATTAATAACCAACCTTGTTTTTGAAATTATGTGAAAAACATTCAGTCTTTCACCATTAGAAGAAAGTGAGTTGCAGGTTTTCTATAGATGCCCTTTCTCAGGGCATCTATACTGACGCACCTATGATGTCCTAATTTGCTGAGAGGTTTAGATGTTGAATTTTGTTGAATCCTTTTTTTATACAACTATTGAGAAGACCATATGTTTTTCCCTAATATGCTGATCTGGTGAAAATGCATTAATCTCTTTTTAAATATTGAATCAGTCTTACATAAATCCCATTTAGTCACTATATATGATCACCATTTTACATAGATCTGGTTTACTTATATTTTCTTGATAATTTCTGTGTCTACTTTGCTGGGGGATATTGTTCTATAGATTTCTTACAATGCCTTTGTCTGGCTTTAGTGTCGGGAATAATTGGCTGTATAAGATGGGTTGGGAAGTGTTCTATTTTGTTCTCTCCTGTTTTATTCGGCACTGTCTTTTGGTTTAATTCTGGTAATTAAACTTCTTGGAATGTTGGAAAAGCTGTACAATGAGAATATGAACTTTTTCTTTCCTACTTTGACCTAAGATACTGAGTGTTTTTAACAATAGAAGTATTTGTAAAATAAATTGTTATTGAGGGGCCTTTGGTCTATACCATTTTTTAGGCTACAGGTGCACAGCATATAATTTGATATCTGTATAAGCTGCGCTATGATTATCACCAAAATTTAGTTTCCATCCACTACTATACAGTTGACTTCCTTCACCCATTTCAGTTGCTCCCAATTCCCTTTTACACTGGTAACCACCAGTCTTTTCTCTGTATCTGAGAGTTTGTTTTGTTTTATTTTGATAAGTAGCTTTGTTTCTTTATATTACACATGTAAGTGCAATCATAGGATAGTTGTCTTCCCCTGTCATTTAGCATGTCATTTTTTTAATGTCTGAGGAGTAGCCCATGGTACAGATAGAGTCAGGCATCCCTTAGTGGGGATGTATCCTAAGATTTCCTCGTAGCACAACCTTACTACACAGAGTGATCCCAGGGACCATTCTCAAATGCAGCCTCATGTTGACTGAAACATCTTTACCTAGCACACAACTGTGTACCACATAAAAAAGAAGTATTTGCGGCCCTCCCTGGTGGCCCAATGGGTAAGGATGCAGCACAGCAAGCCAGCCGCAGCCACTTCAGTGCGAGTTGGATCCTAGCCCTGGAGCTGACCCACATGGTGCAGCAGACCTCTCCTGTCCCACCTGCTGCTCCCCTCATCGATCTGCCTGTTCTGCTCCCCACTCTGTCTCTGGTGGATCCTTTAACTGCCCCTGCACCTCTGACCTGTACCCCAGTTCTGTATGCATAAATAAATAAATCTTTAAAAAAAAAGAAAAGTATTTGAAGATGCTTAAAAAAGAACAGCTAGTGCTAGCTTTACATGTAAAGAAGTTTATATGTAACATTAACACAAGTTTTAGTTTGAGAATCAAAGTCCAAAGTAATCTAGAAGTACTTTGAAATGATTTTGAACATCATACCTTTGTGACCTAGTATAAATAGTTGCTGTTTAATTCCAGGGCTTCAGCCCTTGATGGGGCTCCTCAAGCTTACCTAATTTATTTATTTATTGGTCAGATGTGGTGGTGACCAATTTTCTATTTATTTGGAAATTTATAAAGTATAACCTAACGAGCAGAATCACAAGTTCAGTAAGCTTTTTACCTGATTTTCTATCAGCAACATTTATTTCAGCTTTTTTTTTTAATGACAAACCTCATTCTGTCAAAATATAGAGTGTTATGGTGTAATGTATGCATGTCATTAATTAAGGCTGGAGTGGTGTCGAAGGTTGGCACAACGAGCATTTTGACAGATGGGAAAGAAATAATTTCTCTTGTGAACTATAATTGTTTTTGTGCAAAATGTCAAATGCTAAGACACGATGCTAAATCTGGGAAAATATAATAACATTGCTTTGTTTTGTGAATTGTAGCTGACTTTGGCCTGGCAAAGCAAAAACAAGAAAACAGTAAACTCACATCTGTTGTTGGAACAATCCTGTATTCCTGGTAAGAACAATGACTGTATGGCTCTCAAATAGTATATTTAACTGGGTTGGATTTTTGTTTGTTTGTTTGTTTGTTTTTCTCTTGCAAAGAGAATATGCTTTTAGCTTCTTTATAAATTTTTCTTAATTACCAAGGAAATACACATGTATTGAATTATGCATTATTATCTGTGTTGAAAACAACAACAAATTGTCTTTCTTCTAAGTAACTCTGCCCCTCATGGTGTTTACTTTATTATTTGTAAGTTGAATTGATTCTTGCCACAGTAGGTATGCAGTGGCTGTTGAATGGATCTCTGCAGGGACTAGTTGACTTGCCACCCGACACGACACTTGGAAAATTTGATGGTGTTATTATTATTTTTTTTTAAAGATGTATTTATTCGTACAGAACTGGGGTACAGGCCAGAGATGCAGAGGGTGAGAGGATTCACCAGAGACAGAGAGGGGAGCAGAACAGGCAGATCGACGAAATACACTGCTGAGGGGAGCAGCGGGCAGGTCAGGAGAGGTCTGCCTCGCCATGTGGTCGCCTCCGGGGCAGGCGGGAATCGAACTCGTGCGGAAGTGGCTTTAGATTCTTAGTGCAGTGCTTTAACCCGCTGCGCCACCAGGGAGGGCCGATGGTGTTATTTTTTAATATATCACTCTATTTCTCTCTTTTCACTGATTCAAAGGTAGGAGGAGGGCTTTTCTAGTCCAGTACTTACCCCATTGTATAGCAAATGATAGGTGCTGAATCAATTTTATTGCATGAATGGATAAATGATGGCATATATATGTAGACATATGCTTACAAAATTGGCTGCTTCATGGGTAAATGAATGTTTCTATTTTGATGAATTGAGACACTAACTTCCTTAACATACTTTGATAGTTCCTTTGAAGTCCATTGGTTTTTATGAAGTGGGAATTATCCTTTGCTGATAGCATATCATTTATATGAATCTGTTCAAATTAGTAGACAGATATGGGCATTAGCAAACACAACAGGTTTCAGGAAAATATATTGAGACTTCATTCAACAGGTCAAGCAATCAAGACATTTTTCTTCTTTTTAAATCTATTGTGCACATTGAGTCCTGGGGATAAAATTCAAAATGAATCTTCTCAAAGAGGGTTGAAATTGTTTGGAAATAATAATCCCATTTTGTAAAGTCCTTTCATACAAGACAATCCATGATAGTGCTTTTAGAGGGTGAGTTTTATTTTACTAGAAATTCCTTACATCTTCATCTTTGAAACAAAGGGATCTTGGGGGAGGAGGAAGTTACAGAGAAATCTGTAGAGTATGTAGAAAAAAATTTGAACATGACAACTATTTTGCTTAATTATCCCAAAGATTGATTCATATTTTTCTTTAATTTTTGCATTAACTGAAGATTTAAGAAAACTGAAACTACTATTGCAGTTAAGCTATTATTTCATTGATGTATATCACAATTACTTTAATCACATGTACAGACTATATTATTACTATTCATCTTTCTATTGAACCCTTTGTTGTTTTAATTGCTTAAAAAATTCCTTTCTATTTTCCTCTCCCACCTTCCCCATTCTCCTAGTGTTAGAAATGTCCCCTATGTGATGGGTTTGATTACCATGTCTGCTCAAAACCTATCTTTTTTCTTAGCTTTTACTATCTTCAACTGAGCATGGAATTAAAAGAACTCATTCCTAAATTATATTCCTTTACTGTCATGCTTTAGGAGTCTTCAGAGGTAGACCATGAAACAAGTGCAATTTTATTTGGGAGGTGCCCCACAGAGCAGTGATGGAGGACAGACAGCACAATGCACTTCACTTAGGTTTATAGACTATTT